TCTAGTGTCTATTGTTCCCATCTTTATGTCCATGTGTACTCAATGTTTAGCTCCCACTTATAAATGAGAACATGCAGCATTTGGTTTTCTGTTCCTGTGTTAATTCGGACAATGGCCTCCAGTTGCATCCGTGTTGCTGCAAAGGACATAATTTTTTTTTTAGACGGAGTTTCTCTCTTGTTGCTCAGGCTGGAGTGCAATGGTGTGATCTCAGCTCACTGCAACCTCCACCTCTCGGGTTCAAGCAATTCTCTTGCCTCAGCCTCCCAAGTAGCTGTGATTATAGGCATGTGCCACCACGCCCAGCTAATTTTTTATTTTTAGTAGAGACGGGGTTTCTCCATGTTGGTCAGGCTGGTCTCGAACTTCCAACCACAGGTGATTTGCCCACTTCAGCCTCCCAAAGTGCTGGGATTACAGGTGTAAGCCACAGCCCCTGGCTAGGACATAATTTTTTATGGCTGTGTAGTATTCCATTGTGTATATGTACTACATTTTCTTTATTCAGCCCATTGCCAATGGGCATTTAGGTTGATTCCATTTCTTTGCTATGTAAACAGTGCTGCGATGAGCAGATGAGTGCATGTCTTTTTGGTAGAATGACTTATATTCCTTTGGGTATATAGCCAGTAATGAGATTGCTGGGTCAAATGGTAGTTCTAAGTTCTTTGAGAATTCTCCAAACTGCTTTCCACAGTGGCTGAACTAATTTACAGTCCTACCGGCAGTGTATAAACATTCCCTTGTCTCTGGAACGTCCCCAACATCTGTTATTTTTTGACTTAATAATTGCCATTATGACTGTGTGGTGAGAGGGTATATCATTGTGGTTTGGATTTGCATTTCTCTGATGATTAGTGATGTTGAGCATTTTTTTTTCTTTTCTTTTTCTTTCTTTCCCGTTTTTTTTTTTTTTTTTTTTTGAGATGGATTATTGCTCTGTCACCAGGCTGGAGTGCAATGGCACAATCTCAGCTCACTGAAACCTCCGCCTCTGGGGTTCAAGTGATTCTCCTGCTTCAGCCTCCTAGCCTCCTGAGTAGCTGAAGGCACATGCTACCCACACCGGGCTAATTTTTTTTTTTTTTTTTTGTATTTTTTAATAGAGAAAAGGTTTCACCGTGTTAGCCAGGATGGTCTGGATCTCCTGACCTTGTGATCCGCCCACCTCAGCCTCCCAAATTGATGGGATTACAGGTGTGAGCCACCATGCCCGGCCGAGCATTTTTTAATACATTAATTGGCTGCTTGTATGTCTCTCTCTCTCTCTCTCTCTTTTTTTTTTTTGGCATTTGCTCTGTCGCCCACGCTAGAGTGCAGTGGCTCGATCCTGGCTGGCTGCAACCTCTGCCTCATGGGTTCAAACAATTCTCTTGCCTCAGCCTCTGGAGTAGCTGGGATTACAGGCACCCGCCACCACTCCCAGCTAATTTTTTTGTATTTTTAGTAGAGATGGGGTTTCACCATGTTGATTGGGCTGGTCTTGCCCTCTTGTCCTCAGGTGATCCGCCCCTCTAGGCCTCCCAAAGTGTTGGGATTACAGGCATAAGCCACCGCACCTGGCTTTTGTCTTCGTTTGAGAAGTGTCTGTTCATGTCCTATGCCCATTTTTTAATGTTTTTTTTTTTTTTTTTTTTTTTGAGACGAGTCTCGCTCTGTCGCCCAGGCTGGAGTGCAGTGGCCGGATCTCAGCTCACTGCAAGCTCCGCCTCCTAGGTTTAGGCCATTCTCCTGCCTCAGCCTCCCGAGTAGCTGGGACTACAGGCACCCGCCACCTCGCCCGGCTAGTTTTGTGTATTTTTCAGTAGAGACGGGGTTTCACCGTGTTAGCCAGGATGGTCTCGATCTCCTGACCTCGTGATCCGCCCGTCTCGGCCTCCCAAAGTGCTGGGATTACAGGCTTGAGCCACCGTGCCCGGCCTAATGGGATTGTTTTTTGATGATCATTTTTCTTAAGTTCCTTATAGATTCTGAATATTAGACCTTTGTTGGATGCATAACTTGCAGATTTTTTGTCCTATTCTGTAGGTTATCTGTTTACCCTGTTGATAGTTTCTTTTGCCGAAGCACTTCATTTTCTATAAACAATTCATTTGTTTCCTTTTTAGGCAAGGCCCAATCCAGCCAATAAATATTAGAAGAGAATATACTTCAAGATTCTTTACCTCTAACTACCATAATTTGTAAAAATCCAGTTATGAGAAAATTAGCAAGGTTAATGCCCTGCAAATAATCACTTGCCTAGGGTGACTGCTAATTTATTCTGCCTTAACGGAAAACAGTGCTGATTATTTTACTCTCTGTGTTGCTCCTCTTGGGGAGAACCTGTGTGTTGTGGGAGAAGCCCTTAGAATCTAGAGTAAAAATAGAACCATATAACAGTTTTATTTGAAGGAGAGCTTAGAAAAGATCTCTTATAAAAAAAAGAGGAGCTTTTAAAAATGAGAGTGGCTTTTAGAGTATTTGTCATTTTCCACGTATAAGGCTACCAAATACAGTTTGCACAGCTAATCAAAATTAGGAAGTTGGATTCTTACTGCTTAATATTTAAGTGTTGGTAATATGGTAGGTCTGGTAAAAAAAAAACACAAACCTGCCTTCAAACGATAATAGAAATTATAAATCGAAATTGTATGGGTTCCCTTGATACCTTAACTATTTCTACTCACCTCAAGTGGCAGCTTGTAACTAACATGTACCACATTTACATGTGTCATATACGTGCCTGTGTACATATGTAACATGTGCCACAAAAGATTTACACACATCATAATTTTCACTTTGCAAACGTGTAGAGTGTCTACTGTGCATGAAAAATTGTGCTGAGAAGCTTTGGTGTGTATAGAGATAAGAAATGCTTCCTATGGCCTGTTACTATTTGTGCTACTCAAAAAAGGTTTTGTACTTTGAGAAGGGAGGGAAGTCATCCATTAAGTTAGGCTTTTGTTTATTTATATCCCAGTGCCCTTGATCTCCTGCAAAAACAAAAGGCAAAAGCTTGTTTTAAAAAACAAAATATTCGCAAGGATTTGGGTTTGTTCTAGAGCATTTTTCAAGACATCTGTTCACATAGAAGAGCTAGGTCTTTTGAAAAAGCTAAATCTTTCAAAAAAAGGGAGTTCGTTTTGTTTTTAAAACACGACTCTGTTCCGGTGAGAGCTCGGTGAAGTCCTGATCGGCGCCCATGAAGGCGAGGCCGCTCGAGTCCAGGGACCAGAGGCCGTGGGAACAGCCCGGGTCCGACGGGTACGCGCGGGGGGTGGGTTCGAGCCTCCACGCTTACACACAGCCAGGGCCTTAGAGACCTCCGACGGCGAACCACCGCAGAGAGGCGCTGACCGCGGCCCCGACCCGGCAAAAGCCGTCTGCACGCCTGCTGGGCGCGCAGCCACGTTCACTGCAGCAATCATTCCGGCTCGGCGAGAGCCAGCCAACCGGCCCAGGCTGCGCCCTTTCCGCGGTCGGGGTGAGCCGTTCCAGGAGAAAGGCCGCGAGGGCGGGGCTTGGGGCCTGGCGAGGCTATTTCCTCACACCGCGGTCAGTCAGGACGAGAGGCCGCATTCAGGCCAGTGCAGAGCGCCACATGGCGCTACCAAGTCGGGCCCCGGCGTTGGCGGGCACAGAAGCAGTGTAATGCGGGAAGCCTGCAGCCCACACCGGGGAAGGATGTGCCAGCTAACGAATGTTTCACCACAGCCCACATGCCTGGGAGAGGGAATTTGAGAGCACGTGGGGGAGGGGCGGCGAGAGCTGTCGGCTCGCAGAGAGCATGCTCCGTTCTGAGAGCCGAAGTGGAGAGCCAGGCATGCGCAGTGAGCCCAGGGTGGGTTGGCAGCGGTGAGGGACTGGCGCGAGCGGGCTGATGTGTTTATCCGGTTTTCTGGGTGGGCGGTCAAAGCGCACGCGTAAGGGCGAAAGGCGGCGGAGCTAGGTAGCGGCTTGCGCATGCGTGGAGTGAGCCGGTAGCTCTGGGAGGCTGTGGAGGGGGTTGTTAGAGGAGAAGCAAGGGAAAAGGGAAGCGAAGGGAGGAAAGGGGGGAGGGGTGAGAGTGTGCTCTGCGCATGCGTGCGAGCGCTAGCGACGACGGCGGCGGGGGAGTCTCGGGGATGACAGTGGCTTTGCCCGTTGGGGTAACGGTCGTCGTCGCCGCCAGCAGAGGCCTGAGGCGCCGCACAGCCCGCGGGATCCATTAAGGCCGCAGCAGCCCGGGCCCTACCGAGCTGGGGTGGCGCGTGGAGTCGGGGTGAGGGCGGCGAGGCCTTGCTGTGTGCGCTGGGCGGCGGCGGCGGGGCCTGGCGGTGTGAGCGCTTGCCTCCCGCGGCCGGGAAGGCGCTGAGGGCGGCGGCGGCCGTCGTGCTCGGTCGAGGAGTCGTCTGTGTGTGCGGCGCCGAAAAGATGGCCGGGCAGTGAGGGGGCGGCGCTTGCGTGTGGTGACCCCGGAGTGTGCGACTGAGGAGCGAGGGGCGCCGCCGCGGCCCGGCCGGGCCTGCTCCCCGCCCCCTCCCGCCCGCCGGCGGCGGCCCGCGCACTTCCTCCCCGGCCCTCCCCTCCGGGTTGAGGACTCTCGCCCGCCTCGCCACCTCGGGGAACTGCGGGCTGCAGCCTACGGGGCGGAGAGCCAGGGCGCAGTCTGGGCCCCGCGTCCGATATGGAGAGTGCGGCGACGGCGTCCGCCAGCCGCAACAGCAACCTTCGTCGCCGCCGCGGTGTCTTGCACTAGATCCGGGAAGCCGCCGCCCGACCGTCGTCCTTGCCTTCGCCGCCGCCTCCGCGCCCTGCACTGGGATGGAGTAAGAGGCTCTGCAGCCCGGGAGAAGCGTGTCGCGCCTCAGACGGGGCCGGGGCCTGCTCCCGCGCCCGCCAGCTCGACCTGAGGAGGCGCCTCCGTGTCCGGAGATGGAGCTCGAGTGCAGGCCGCCCGCCGAGCCGCGGGGCTAGACTGAGCGCCGAGTCCCGCCCCGAGCGCCCAAGCCGCCGCGTTCTGCGCTCTGTGGTCGCTCCGGACGAACTCGAACGCTGGTTTCTCTCTCTCTCTCTTATATTTTTGGAAGTCTCAGGGACGGAGGGGCGCCAAGGCCCCATGTGTGGGAGGATTGCTTCAGCTCCACAAACTTGCACGGATTCTGGTTACTTGTTTGGCCAATGGTTCGGCTCTGATTTCTTCCGAATTGTTGCAAATTCGCCATCGTTCCCTGGCTGCTTACAAAGTTGGATCCGGAATTTCTTTTCAACCGGGAGCCATTGGTGTCGAAGTGTCTGCAATGAACCCCGTGAATGCTACTGCTCTCTACATTTCCGCGAGCCGCCTAGTGCTCAACTATGACCCCGGAGACCCCAAGGCGTTTACTGAGATTAACAGGCTCTTGCCTTACTTCCGACAGTCCCTTTCGTGCTGTGTTTGCGGTGAGATGCTTTTTATTGTTCCCTTTCAATGCTTGTTTTTAAAAAGCCTTCTGGGCAGTGGTAACGTGAGCGGGTCGACGGCCTGGTGGTTGGTATTAAGCTTTTGTTATTTGTGCCGCGCTGTGCGGTCATTAGTTTTGAAACTCGCCGAGGGACTTTTGCCCGGCATTTCAGAAAGGCAGAGAACCCTTTCAGACCGCTTTGTGCAGTGGCGTTAACGTTCAAAATGGTTTAATTCGCCTCGGTTCATCTGGTGGTAGTGGTTTAAGTGGGGGTAACATGCATGCACAATACTTTGCCGCGGGAGCTGATTTCGTACCTACAGCGGTTAAAAGTGGGTAAACATGACGAAGACATGCACATGTGGCGTGTTTGCATTTCCCCAAGCTGGTGTTACGTGGGAGTGGTGGGCTAAGCTGATGAACCCACAGCTGGAGAACCCGGCGCGGAACTTTCCCCCGGGTTCATCCCCAAATGCTTTGACGGTTTGACGGTTAACAGCAAGCCGGGGAAGGCTGGTGGTACTCGAAGTGCTTTTTAACTGGTGGGATTTTTACTTACCACGTTTTCATTTTGTGGTTTAACATACTTTGGCTTCGTCGAGGGTTATTTTAGATGTGTTTGTTCAAAAAATATTAACTCGTGGTAGGTAGGATACTTTTTAATTATTTTTAAGATAGAAGACATATGCTAAATTGTCTAAGGAAAATATCTCAAAAGTGATAATTTGAGTGTTAACTGTGCAGGTATAATAATTACTTGCTTTTCGAAAAACCTGGACTGAGACGTTAATACAAAGGAAAGGGCAACTGGCAAAGCAGTAAAGTAAAGCTCTACTTAATAGTCTATCCGAAGTTTTGAAGTTTTGGTGATCCACTTGTTTAGTTAGAACCTGGGAAATTCAGGCACGTTAAGGCTTCCGCTTTCTTTAAAATTAGATAAAGGAAGAACAGTAATTTGGGACAGTTGTGGCTGAAGGGAGAAATAATATTCATTTGAGGTTTATCCAGCGTTTTCTATATGGATCCTGAAGCAAGACACTGAATGGGTGCAGAAGAGGTGGTGGTGTTTTTTGCAAGACAGGTACTTACTGTCATAAACATTTAAGTAACTGAGTAAGTCATTAAGTGCTGCTCTGACTGGTAACAGACACTTAACACCTATATAGAGGAATAGTCGCCCCGGGCAAATCACCTAACTGCCCTGGGCCTCAGTTTCTTGATGTGTAAAATGAGAATTTTCGGCTAGATTGAGTTTCCTTTCAGCTTAAGTTTTGCAAATGTAGGTGTATAAAAAATTTGCTTGATTTCATGGTAACCTCTCAGTCTACTCCGGCTTTTTTGGAGTGCTTTTTTTTGTGTCCTCACATATTTTGATAGTTTGAGGACTGAGGAAACGGAGCTGCCATAACTTCCTTCTCCATACACTTTTTTTTTTCCTTTTCCTTTGGTGACGGCCGTAGGGTGCTACTTTGGTGAGGTAGGGGAAAGAGGGAGGGCCCACTCTGTCCTGCTGAAACAGCATTTGAGAGTGATGTCATTATCAGTTAACATTTGCAGAATCTGGTAGGTCACCTGTTTACTAGATGGGTGAGACTTAGCTCTCTAATTTAAGAGGGAAACGGTAGTTTTGAGTTGTGTAGACCACCACTATCCTAAAACTATTAAGAACCTCAGAGGTTTTAAGTTCTTATTAATAGCTTTCGGTTGGTAGTGGTGGTCTCATTGAACATTTTCCCAGGTTCTAACCTGGACTTTAAATAATGGCATTAAAGATAAAACTACATTTAAAAGTCCAACTGTAGCCTTTTTTGTTTTTATTTTTTGTCAGTCTTGGCAACACAAGGGGAATTTTTCTGACAGGGCTTTCTTATTTCACATCATCCTAAGGGGAATTTTTCTGACAGGGCTTTCTTATTTCACATCATCCTGTGGAAGATCTGTGAGTTCTGCTTCTCCCTTATAATTGAGTAGCTGGCATGGTTTCAGTAATAGGGATGTAGGTTCAGGTTTTTTTCCTCCCATCTCTTTGGACATAAGTCTGTGGTTATCAAGAGATAGAAAAAAAAAAAATCAGTTATTTGAATTTAGCTCCAGCATTTACATATCTTTGTACCAGGTGCGTACTAGACTTTTTTTCCTTAGATGAAAAGCATACGTGCATTCAAATTAATATGTGAATGTGCATGCAGTCTTATTTCACGAAAATAATACACATGTAAAAATGAAGTTTAATTCTGTCGTAATGCTTAATTAGGGAATTTGTTTCAACACGTCCTGTAGATTTGACCCGCTACTACCTTTTCATTCTTTCATTCAACTGTGGTTTTACATAATTTTTGTTTTAACTGGATTGATGTTTTTGCCCTTTCAGACATGCTTTATATCTTCCTCTTTTTTTTCTTTTTTTAAAAATCTTTGTTTTCTTAAGTTTCTTCTGCCTAATACACTCCTTTTTTTCTAAAGGCCTAACTCAACTCCCTGCCTCCTTGGTGAAGTCTTCCTTGCTCACTGCAGCGAAAAGTTTCCTCTGGTCAGGTGCCTGTAATCCCAGCACTTTGGGAGGCCAAGGTGGGCGGATCACTTGAGGTCAGGAGTTGGAGACCAGCCTGGCCAACATAGTGAAACCCCATCTCTACTAAAAATACAAAAATTAGCTGTGTGTGGTGGCGGGTGCCTGTAATCCCAGTTACTTGGGAGGCTGAGGCCCATTGCCAGACATTGCTTGAACCTGGGAGGCGGAGGTTGCAGTGAGCGGAGATTGTGCCACTGCACTCCAGGCTGGGCGACAGAGTGAAACTCTGGCTCAAAAAATTAAAAAGTTATCTTTGTTCTCTTGTTCCAGTCGTAAGGTACTTATAACTCCTTTCAGTGCAGTTTTTATATCAGTTTGATTTTCCTGATATATATAATAAACTTCTTAGGGAAGACACCTTTTTCTTTTACATTTTCGTATTTCTTCTGCTTCACATTCTCTCCTGCCTAGTGACTTACATGTAGGTGTTTATGACAGCCTCAGAGGAAGAGGTGAGGGAGGGAAAAAGCCCTTCAAACTTTGCAATTAGGTTGAAATTTGGCTTTTACTTACTGTGTAGGCGCATTGCTTTAACTTTTTGCCAGTTTCCTTTATCTCCTTCAAGTTTGTTTCTCCAAATTTGTGTTATGTGTGGGCTTATTTTTAAGTGGTTTGAAAAAACTTTTTATTGAGACAGGATCTTGCTGTGTTGCTCAGGTTGGAGTGCTTGCTCAGGTTGGAGTGCAGTGGTGCCATCCTAGCTCACTGCAGCCTTAAACTCCTGGATTCATGCAATCCTTCCACCTCACCCTCCTAATTAGCTAGAACTGCAGGCATGCACCATCATGCCCAGCTAAAGTTTTTGTGGTGATAGGGTCTTGCCATGTTGCCTGGGCAGATCTTGAACTCCTAGGCTCAAGCTGTCCTCATGCCTTGGCCTCCCAAAGTGCAGGGGTTACAGATGTAAGCCGCTGTGGCTCCTGGCCTGAAAAAAAAAATTTTTTTTTTTTGAGACGGAGTCTTGCTCTGTTGTCCAGGCTGGAGTGCAGTGGCGGAATCTTGGCTCACTGCAACCTCCACCTCCTGGGTTCAAGCGATTCTCCTACCTCAGCTTCCCGAGCAGCTTGGGATTACAGATGCCTGCCACCATGCCCAGCTAATTTTTGTATTTTTTGTAGAGATGAGGTTTCACCATGTTGGCCAGGCTGGTCTTGAACTCCTGACCTCGTGATCCGCCCGCCTTGGCCTCCCACAGTGCTGGGATTACAGGTGTGAGCCACCCCTGCTCGGACTGAAAAAAGTTTTTGAACCCATGAGAACAAGTCTACAGATTCAGTGTCTGGCATGTATTAGGTACTTAATATCCCAGCTTTGCACAGTAGAGAAAGGTGGGAGGAGGTGAGGGAAGAGACTATAAACTATCAGGTCACTTATTGTCAAACCTAGATTATTCACTGCAGTTACAGTTTTGTTATTATTGTTCTTTGATATGTTAATTAGCTGATTATCGTGCTTGTTTTTCAATTGGTTTGTATATTTAAACCTTCTGAAGCTTCTAGTGAATGGGATAGCCTTACTGTAGAGAATTACTGTACTTTCTAGGTCACAGAAAGTGACCAAGACAAAATCACTATGGGTACTATTTTTAAGTGTCGATTTCTCGCTCCTGTTCTAAATGTTGGACTTCCTTTATCAGAAAGTAGAATTGTTTTTTTCTTTTGATAACATGAGACTTGATAAATTTTGGCCTAAGGATTTTAGGTTTTCATTAAACTTGTAACTCTTCAAATGATGTAACAAGTCTGATGTATACAATCAAAAATCCTGTTAGGATTGGAGGGTCATGTTAAATGGAAAAATATTACTCTTGGAGATATTTGGAAATTATCATGGTCAAACCCAGGAACATGAATGTTTCCCTTTTTTTTTTTTTGGAGACGATCTTGTTTGGTCACCCAGGCTGGAGTGCAGTGGTGCAGTCATAGCTCACTGCAGCCTCAAACTCCAGTCCTCTGGCCTTAGCCTCCAGAGTAGCTAACACTACAGGTGTGCGCCACCATATGTGGTTGGCTAATTTTTAAATTTTTTTTTTTGTAGAGATGTGGCCTTGCTGTGTTGTCTAGATTGGTCTTGAACTCACCTGGCCTCGGTCTCCCAAAATGCTGGGATTACAGGTGTGAGTCCCGGTAACCTGTACTATGTCTTTATTGGTCACCTGTGATGTTCTAGATGCTAGGATAGAATAAGACACGTGGCACAGGCCCATATATATTGGTCAGTGTTATAGGGAAGACATTAAAGTAAACCAACAATTATTGGCCAACTACTGAGTAGAGGCATGTAAGCTATAACAAACCTCATGTGTCACGATAGAAAAGTTAGTAATTTTTTATTTTTGAGACAGGGTCTTGCTGTGTTGCCCAGGCTGGAGTGCATTGGCATGATCTTGGCTTACTGGAACATTTGTCTCCCGGGTCCAGGTGATC